AGTTGTGTGTTTTGGGGAGTCACCAGTGRTTTGTTCCCCTCCTCAGGGCCCCACGCAGCGCCACGTGCAGATCATCATGGAGAACCTGCTGCGCACGGTCAACAGGACGGTGATCTCCATGGGACGAGACTCCGAGCTCATTGTGAGTGTCTCCTGATGTAAACTCAAATATCTGTCACCTCCTCCTGAAGCTGCTGTAACAGGATCCAAATCCCAGCTGGCCCAAAGCAATCAGAACCTGCTGCTCTCGCTGGCTCTGTGTGCTCAGGAAGCGCTGCCTGCTGATTTCGCTGTGCTTGACACAGGGAGAGAGAAAAAAAATGTTAAAAAAAAAATCTGTGGGCAGGTGATTAGGAAGGATTGATATATGTGAGCATCAGAATGATGTAGGATTGGTAATTAGCCAGCTGAGAGGTRTGGGAAGGAGAGTCTTGCCTGGTTGTTACTGCATTACAAGCATTTACTTTGCTTTTTGATTCAAACTGAGATAACCAAGGTAAGTGTTCAAATGGCTGAAGAGCAGAGCTCAAAATTGTTCTTTTCAGTACCTGGAGGAAGGACTTAGGGTGGCTGACCACTGGGATTTTAAAGCCTGACATTTGAAGTTTTCAACTTTAATTAATTAATATTGAACTAAATAATGAAAAAAAAYGAGGCCTGTTGGTGTCTGAAATGGAAATAGATCTGAGCATTTTGGGGAGTCTCCCTGTGTATTTTTGGGGATTTTCCCTGTTTGTTTTGGGAGTCTCTCTGTGTGTTTTGGKGGATTTTCCCTGCTTGTTTTTGGGAGTCTCTCTCTGCTTTTGGGAGTCTCCCTGTGTGTTTTGGGGAGTCTCTTTGTTTTTGGGGAGTCTCTGGTGTTTTTTGGAGGCTCGCTGTGTATTTGCCTTTTCCTTGCGATGTTTCTCAGCTGGCTGCTGGTGGCCACTGATCCCTTCAGGAAACTGGTCCAGGTGGGCCAGGTTTGTGCTGTGTCTGAGCGTTGTCCCTCTGTCCTGCATCACTTTGGGTCACTTTGGCTCGGTKCTCTGATTTTTTTCCTACAATGGGATAATTGTTAGAGAGATGAGTCCATTCCCCCTGTAATTGCACACAGCAATATTTGAYATTTGAAAGGGCTCTGTGTCTTCAGCACATCTTCCTTTCCTCCTGCTGCCCATTTCCTTGGCACATGGGGCTGTTTGTGTTGGCAAACCTGCTGCAATTGCATTTTGTCTGCAGTGCATCATCCACTGGTTTGTTCTGGCCTTCCACTTGTATCACTTTGGTTTTTGTTGTAAGGAAGGGATAATGGATCACCAGATCCATTGCTGGGTCAAGAATCCCATAATCCCAAACTGGTTTGGGTTGGAAAGGACCCAAAAGCTCATCCCATTCCACCCCTGCCATGGCAGGGACACCTCCCATTGTCCCAGGGTGCTCCCAGCCCTGTCCAGCCTGGCCTGGGGCATTTCCAGGAATGAAAATCCACAACCTTTATGGAAAAATGGTTCCAAGCAGATGATTCCTCCAGAATGTTCCAGTGCTGGGATGCAGTAGCAGTGCAAGGAAGTCACCAGTTTTTTGTGTCATTTTAACTTCCTCAGTTTCAGTCTGAATGCGAATTAATTACTGTTTTGATGAGCATGATTCAGGTGATATTTCAAAATGTTAATTATGCCTTTTGCAGTTGCCAGCTGAGGTTTGAAAAGCTGTGTGTGTGTGTTTGAGCTGAGCAYGGTGGTGTTAAAGATCCCCATCGTGCTCACGAGCTTGGAATCCCTCCATGCATGGCCTCAGTAATCAGTGAATAAATGCAGATATTCAGGGTGCTTTTAATGAGTACCTACTCCTACCTTACAATGCAGCCTCTGCTGAAAAGATTCCCCTGTTCATTAACCAGCAACAAATCGTTTCTGTGCTGTCAGCAAAGTGGGAGGGGTAAAATGCATAATGACAATAATTAGGAAGTGTAACCTGACCTCCCTTGGATCAGCTTCGGGTTGGAATGTTGCATTGATTTCTCTTTTTTCTTAATTTTACCTGTAGTAGGGAATTAACCATACAGACTGGAAGGAAGGGATTTGAAATACCTTACAGAGGCATAGTCAAGTCATGATAACTTCTTTAAAAAGAAGTAAAATACAGGACATAACCATTTTTTGAGTCTATAAATATAACTGTATTGGTGTCCTAAAGCTGGCATGTTTTTCTCCTTRGGCAAATACTTACTGACACCATGTCCATCCAAAACCTGATGTTGTATAATGCCATTTATGAACAGTGCAGGAATGTCAAAAATTTCAGTGCTCAAGTGGAAAGTTTTAATTTTAGAGGATRTGCYTTTTCTATGGCATCGAACTGCAAAKATTCTYCAGTAGTTCCCTTTGGCTTTGCACGTTTGGTTTTAATTTTCTCTTCCTTAAATGTGAGTTCCTTGATGAAATCAAAAGCAAGTTTTGTGATATACTTTGGAATAATAAAATCAGTTGTAAGAAGAACTAGATATTAAATAGAATGGAGTGAAAGTGATTAGTTTAAAATCTGAATTGACCATAATTTTGGTAGCAGGAGAATTTTTAATCCTCATCGGTTTGTAAAATACAAGTGCAAGTGTAAAATAAGAATTATTGATGATCACAGGAGATTTCTGAGGCTGCAGTTACTCAGGAGCTGAATTATCTTCCTGTGCCTTCAAATCTGTCCAGCTCATGTTCATGCATTCCAAAATGTTGGGGAGAAAACCTTGTTTTCTTCACCAGACTTCTTCCACAGGAAAATACTTTTCTGTATCAAATCACATGTTTTCTTCTCTTTTAAAACCATTTGAAATGCATATTGTGAGCTAATTTCACAGAAAGTGCAGTGGAATTTTGGATGATGGCTGTAGTTTTGTTCCATCCTGAATAATGAGCTTTTTTTGTGTTGTCAAACCTTCGYCGTTGCACTCCCCACTGACATTTATGGGAATGAGTTACATCCCCTAAACAAATGGAGACATTTGTAGCACTCCAGGTATTAATGAACCACGGRTGGATTTCATGGATGCTGAAATAATATTAAAAATCTTCACGCAGTCCCTTTCGTTCTCCCAGACGAAATGGTGTCAGTGCCGTTGGATTTTTTGTGGCAATCTGGTTAAATTCCAGGTCARTTCCAGCAGCAATATGTAAAATCTGGTCAGACACAGGTCCTGAAGAACTGGTATAATCTAACAGCAAACTTGGTTGRGAAGTTCATGAAAAATGACCTTATTTGATTGGAAAAAGTGATTTAACCTTTAAAACATTGAGTGYGATTGAAGGTGTGGACGGTGCTTTACATTTTAGGCAAGAGAAAGCAAACACTTCGTACCCATGGTAGGATTTTCCAGTTTTAATTGTATTTTTTTTCAGTTTTTCCTTGTTTTTTTTAAGTATTTTTACAGTGGTGTTTTTTTTTCTTTTAAATCTTTAAGAAACCAAGTGCTACTCATAGGAATAGTGTTTTCCTTGTAGTTCTAAACCAAAGGATGCAACTGTTGCTATGTGGAAATGATAAGGACTCAACAAAGAGCGAGGGATGTAAAATCACTGCAGTATTTATTGGCTAAAAAGTATATTTTGAAGCAGGAGCTGGGAGAAGTGCATATAGAAAATCAGTGTGTGAAGTGCAGGGGGACTGCCAGTGAATCCAGCAAAGCCACATTAAAAATAAAAACGCATTTTCCTCGTCAGAACCTCCAAGATCTTCTACACGAGGGTGAAAACAGCTCTGTCAGTCACATGGAACTAAAAGCTCTAAAGAATTAGGTTGGGTTTTTGTCTTTTTTTTTGTTTCTCTTGGTGTCTATCTAACCTGAGCCTGAGTGATTCTAAAGGCAATACAATTATGATACATTTTACACACTTGCAAAAACATTTTATTACAAATTACATCGGGAGGGTAGGAGAGGGAACACGAGATGATATCGGTCGGAAGCGAGACTCTATGGTAATGTCAGCTTTCCCCAGGTTTAAAAAAATGTAAAAAATTAAAAATCTGCAACTTGTTAAGAAAATAGCCTGGACATGTAGAGAACACGCYGTGAGAACTTTCCCTGTGAGCTCTTCGCTTCTCCAGTGTGACGTTTCCTCCCTCTTTTTGCCCATTCCAGGAGCTCTGCATGAGCTGTGGTTGGGTTTGTGTTGGGGTCCCTGCAAAGCTACCAAGGGGTGGCACTGAGCATTTGGGAGCTGCTTGCCAGGGATAGATGTTTGGCTTAATTTCTTTAAAAAAACCCCAAACTCTTGTCCCATTAGCATGGAGGAGTGCATTAGTTATTAAGGTGATTTTAATTATAAATACTGCTGTATTTTCCTTCTTCATATTAGAAGTTTCTTTCTGCTTAGGAAAAAACAAAAGGGTTTTTTTATGTTTGGAAATATTTGGGTTTCTAAACCATGGATGGGGCTGTCTTGTAATTCTTGTAAACTGTAAACCATTTCATATTTTAGTTAAAAACAATATAAAATACGTGAAACACAGGGGTTTTTCCACATGAGATGATGGCACTTGCTGCCTTGTGTACAGGATCACCTGTAGGATTCCCAATCCTTCACCTTTCACCAAAGGATTTCAGGATTTGCTCCTGTGCAAGAGCTCGTAGCCCTCTTGAAGGTTTACTGCAAATTTTGAGCTGGCCATAGATAACTTCTGCATTTCTGTTTCCTTTATAACTTCCTTTTCTTGCTCTTTGAGGAAAACCAAAAAAGTTATTTCCCTCCAGTTTCCTTTCGGGAATAAATTGGATGCTGAGCTAAGAGGAGGAACAGTGTAAATGAAAACACTTTCTAAATTTTTAATATGTGCAAATCACTGATCATGGTTATTGCACCTAAAAGCTGAARAATTTTTCTGCCTTTCTGCTGCTGCAGGGGATGCAATTTCCAACCCAGTTTGTCACATGACACTCAAATTACCTGAAATCCTTGGAAAAAAAATCCTGAACCAAACAAACAACAAGATTCCCATTCCCTGACCAYGTCTGGTATGAGGAATTTTCCCACCAATGGTCATTTTAGATGCAAGTTTAATGATGGAAGCAAATACTTAACGGGAAAAGTTGCAGTTTATAAGTYAGAGCAAAATTTTTAAGTGCCATTTAAAAAAAAAAAATGAACCAAAATTAGGAAAAATCTGATTCACATCTCTCCCCTATGTTTCAATTAGTAAGTACAATTAAACAGATTGAGATATGAATTATAATAAGTTGGGAAACCCATCTGAGCAGCATAATTAATAAATAAATAAGCAGCATTTCAAATCCCAGCTCCTCCCAGGCAGCGCTGCAGCCTCAATCTCCTGGAGCATTCTGCAGTTGTGGAGAGGTTTTCCAAAGACTGCTACAAAAAATACTGACCCATGGCATGGGCAGAAGATGAGATTGGGATTGGGATCGGTCTGGTTTGGGGCTGGGATTGGATCCTGTGGGGCTGAGACCTTTTGGGGACCGGAGGTGACACGGAGAGCTCGTCCCGTGGCSTGGACCCTGCGAGCTGGAGGTGCTGAAAGGCTGGGCTGGATTTTTGGGAGCTTTCTGGTCACTCCCCTGCTGGGGAGGAGCGATGGAGTGGTTGTGGTGATGAGGACACAGCTAAACCCAAAATGAGGTGGAAATGTGAGAGCTTGGTCGGAGTCTACATCGCATGAAGGCAGAGAATACACCACAGTCACGTCTCGGAGATCGGCGCGGCTGCGAGCCGCGGGAAAAATTGTGCTTTGTCCAGGAATTGTGTGCTGAAAACTGCACTCCCCGCTCGACACGGAGCTGTAAAACGGAACACCGCTGCCAGCATAAGGCTTGCTTGTTATTTTCCCCTTCTCTGTTGCCCGGAGACAACAACCCAGACCCCCAAAGGCTCGGGACATTCCTGCGCGACGCCGGCGGATCTGAGCGGGGAAAAAACAGTTTCACTTCCATCTTTGTCCAAATTGCCGTTCAGGTTCACATCCCACGTTGGCCAGCTGCAGTRGAGGAGGGCAGGGTGCTCCCCCAGCCCCTGCTCCCGGGATGGGTCCGTAGGTACAAAGGCCTTTTTGGTACACGCGGTGAGAACTGGGTGCTGCCCTTGGCCAGGAACGCTCCTCCTTCGCCACGATCCCGTCAGAGATCACGGAGACAACTCCAAATATTTATCAGAGAAGGCCTTGAACTCCACATGTAATGGACTTGGGTTAAAGGAACCAGAGTTTCCATCTTCCGTGCTTTTTTGATTCAGTTTTGGATTTTTGCTTGGGAGTGGAGGAGTAGCTCTCCTGAGAATAAGGCAAAGGTGCAACCTGAGTTTCCTCAATAGGATGAAGTTTTCTCAAAACTGGCTGGAGTTTATCTTCTTGCTGTTTGAAATCCAATTCCACACTAGAAATGGGAAGAAAAAAAGCAATCAGTTATTAATTATGACAATAAAAAAAATTTAATTAACCTAGCATCTGAGTGCTTAACTCAGGAAAGTCAAATAAAAAACATGTTTTGCATGAGAAGGGAAAGGGAAAGTTCCAAAAAGGTCAGAATACAGAAGGGAAATGGGAATGGGATTGTGTAGCTTGTCCCTGCTGTTCAGGAGGGCCTTGAGGATTACGGTGGAGATCCTGTGAAGTGATCTGAGCAGTAGAAATACAACTTTTTTTTTCTTTGGAGAAACAATTTTTGAAGGTTTCCAGGCTCTGGAGGTCAGGGTGGCTGCCAGGCAGCTGCGTCCTTGTGCTCTGGGAAAAGCTGAGTGGCTGAAAACAATGAGGGTCTCAGCAATTTCTTTACCTGAGCTATTCCTTGCCAGTTTTACYGTGGAAAAGATTAATTTCACCAAGTTCCTGTCATATGGGCAGACTCATATAATAAATGGTTTTACTAACCAATAATAAATAAAATAAAAAAATAAAAAGCAGTTCTGTTTTATAGGGTAGTTTTGCATTCAGAAAATAGACTGAAGGCGTGAAATCCCTGTCCTGAATTGGCTACAAAAGTCCTTCCAGAAATTAAGAACCATCATTAGGATGGAATTACAAGCTTTATTTGAGCATTGTGCTGCACAGCATTTTGAGGCCACCTTATAAACCAAAGGAACCACAGCAGAACGTTGAGCAAAAGTTCTGTCTGATGGTGGAAACTGAGTTTTGGCCCTTCAGAAATACTTTGGAGCTTTGTGGTTTCATTCTGCACTGGGGTTTTTCCTGTCTTGTGTAGAATATTTGGGGTTGGAAGGGAYCTTTGGAGATCATCTGAYCCCACCCTATTGCAGTGGKGCCTCTGGATATCAGAGGATRATTTWAAAGGRTAAAATGAAGGGAATTGAGGCACTTGGGTTTATTATTGATTATTATAATTAATTTATTTCTTCCCTGTTTCCCTCCACTGCTGAGTGTCTCGAGCTTTGCACTGRCTGCTTTCATCATTACCTAAATACAAAATTATCACTTCTGGACTTGAGATCACTTTTAATTAGTATTAAATATGTTTTCAGAGTTATTTCTGCCATTGCTTGTTTGGAGTGAACCACTAGAGAAGTGAGATGTGATTGGCTAGCTCTCATCCAAAAAGAGATTATTTTAAATTTCATTTTGGGCCCTGTCTGGCTTAAGGAGTGCAGGGATGTGGCACAGAGCACCTGAAGCCATTTCAGCGGAGATTCTTCCAGCAGAATCATTAAGGTGTAAAAGACCTCTGTGATTTCCGAGGGGAAATTCTGGTGGACTTTGGTGTCACAGCTTTTGGAAATTGAGCACAGAATATCATCCACCATCTTCTGCTGATTTAGGCTGGGTTTGTTTCCTCCAAGGCTGGAGGGCAGGGAATTAAAGCTGCTGAGAGAAGGGAAAGGATCATTTTGTGCTTTGTTTTTTTTAAGAGCTGATGAGTTTGACTTCAAGGACTCTGGTGAAGCCCCAGAAAGGGGTGCTGGGAAGATGTGATGTATTTTTACATTTGGATGGGCCTGATTTGTTGTTCGATTGAAGCCTTAAATCCATTTTTAGCACAAGTTTTAGTGAGTTGGAGAAACTTTTTAACAGCAGAGAAATGCATTAGGTAAGAGTTCAAACAGAGAGAGTATTTTACCCACTGCTATGTGCTTAATGAATAAAAAGCCATTCCAAATCAAGGAAGGTAGTTTAAAAAATTTTAATTCTAGGCTAGAATAGTGAATTTTCAGGAGGCAGCTGTGTCGGTGCAGAAGCACGTTCCAATCCTGCTGATTAAAATCCCTCCTTAGCAGAAAAACAACTTTGTTTTCACTGATATCACGTTCCTGTGTGCAGTTTAACTGGCAAAAAAGAGTTTGTTAGGGAAGTTCAGTATGAATTTAGTGGTGARATGGGGATTATCAGCTCATTGGGAATATCCCAGCACAGGAATTCTGTCAGTGACACAAAATCTGGGAACGAAGGAGGTGCTACTCGAAGAGCTCACTAAATTTCATTTAAAGTGTAACTTTTAGCACGTATTGTATCTGTTTTTTTTTTTTTTTTCTCAGCATAAAGGTTTTTTTGGGGGAAAAAAAGCGCCTTTCAGCTCTGGCATTGCCTGAGTTCATTTTTACTTCTTTCAAACGTTATTCTTGCAGGGAGGCTCTTAAGAGCTGCTGGAAATAGCTCTAAAAAGAAATTGTTATAAGAAAAAACCCTTGCTGAACAGAGTAATTTTTTACATAATCAATTTCTATTAAAGATGGACCTCAAGAGGAAAAAAAAGCTTCTCAATTCTGGTGCATCTGACAAGCCCCATGTTGTTGGTATTTGCTGCTGCAGCACAGATCAGCTTTKAGCCTTCACATCCAAGGGAAATATTTTGCTTCTGAAGGGTATAAAGAGGCTGAAGGAAAAACAGTTGTGTTATTTCAGCATTTAGAACCATAGATTTTGCAGAATAATTGATTGGTGTCTATCAGCATCAATTTATTCAGCTTTGGAGGTGATTTAATGGAGCTGCTCTGTCAGGCAAATCATTTGATTGCAAACGTAGGTTTTAATTTATACCTGTTTGTGGTGCAGAAATAAGACAAAAACCTTCTTTTTTAGTTTTTTTTTTGCATATTTTTCTATAGCTCACTTGAGTTTAAGTTTATCTTATTGATAGTGTTAATGAAATGCTATTCATCATCATTAGTCAGAGATTTCCAGAATGGTTTGGGTTGAAGGGACATTAAAGTTCATCCCATCCCACCCTGCCATGGCCAGGGACATCTCCCACTATTCCAACCCAGCCTTGGCCACTTCCAGCCATTAAATCCAGCAGGAATTACAGATTTTTGTGGGGCTTCCTCATGTTTTTGTTGCAGAGCTGCGTTCCTGATGCTGTCACCTGTCCCAGCTCTGCCAMTCCTGGTTTGTGCTCGCTGCTATTTCTGTCCCCTCAGCATCCCGAGCTGTCCTTTCTCCCAATGACCTTKCCCTGAAATATCCTCCCTGCCAGGTGCCTCTTTTCACTTTCAAACTTGGATTTTGTCCCTTAATAACTCCATTAACTTAATTATCCAGGATTCTCCTGTTCTTCTGGCATTACACACAGAGGTGAGGATTATTTGCTTCAGAAGTGTTTTTTTCTTGGATAATATAATAATACCTTTTAATAGGCAGAAAATTCTGAGTAAGCCCTGCAGAAACAAGAGATAAATTTAAAATATTATTTATTAGCACCAACCTTGGCCTGCCACTCCTGATCAGGACATCCTGAAACTTCACTTCCCTACAATATTGTTAAATTTGGAACACTGAGTCGGTTTTGCCATGTTCAGTGCTCATCCCAAATTCTTCCTCCAAACAGAGGGGCTGTTTTTATCAACTATGAGCAGTGAAGTTCTCTCTGTGATAAAGATTTTTGTGTTTTCTCCCTGGAATAACTGTGTGCTTACAAGGTCTCTAACCAAAACTTGACATTTTAGGGCAGCTGCCTGTGTGTCAGTGGTTGCAGTGATGTCCTGCCTGTGAAAATTGGGCCAAATAAAATGAAATAACAACCCATGGATGAGTTTATTTGGTACCACCCTGACAAGGAGGGATTTTTTTTTTCCCCAAAATCCCATTCACCCCTCCTCTCTGGCAGTGTGGCCCCATTCCCTGTGTCCTGTCCCTCCATCCCCTGTCCAAAGTCCCTCTCCAGCTCTCCTGGAGCCCCTTTAGGGGACCCGAGGCATTGTTGTGATGGATTTTCTGGTTTTGTCTTTCTGTTTTTGAGAATTTATGTTAATGAGTTTATTTTTTGCATGCAGGCAGCAGTGAACCTTTTCTGATTTAGTTGCTGTGTGAGGGATTGAAATCAGAATTTGAGGAGTGCGAATCATTGGGATTAAACATATGGGCTGTGGGAGGGGATGGAGCAAAAAGCCCCGAGATAGGGATGGGGTTTCTTATTTCCTAGCACAGTCACACRTTGTTGTCATGAATCATTTGAAGGTTTCAGATGCTCATGAGCTGTTGGGTACTGGGAAATTGCTGAATCAGAGAAATCCAGGCTCAGGACTGAGCTGCTGAGGGATTTATCAGGGAATCRYGGAATGGTTTGGGTTGGAAATCCCATCCAGTCCATGGCAGGGACACCTTCCACCACCCCATGGTGCTCCAGCCTGGCCTGAGGCACTGCCAGGGATCCAGGGGCAGCCACAGCTTCTCTGGGCACCCTGTGCCAGGGCTGCCCACCCTACAGGGAACAATTCCTGCCCAAAATCCCATCCATCCCTGCCCTCTGGCTCTTTGGGGTCATTTCCCTTGTCCTGTCACTCCACACTCTTGTAGCCTCTCTTTGTCTGTTGTGTCTCCTTCAGGTACTGAAAGGACAGTGGGGTCACCCCAAAGCTCCTCTTCCAGGTTGAACAATCCTAATTTCCCCAATATTTCCCCACATCAGCGCTGCTCCATCCCTCTGATCATCCCAGATCCTCCTCTGCTCTCTCTCCAGCAGCTCCAGGTCCTTCCTCCTCTTGTYTCTTGCCCTCTCCAAGGCTCGACCCTGCTCAGAGCTTTCCCCTCTCCTTTCTGCCTCCAGGGAAATCCTTTTTGCTCCTATTCCAGCTCAGCTAAGACTGAATTTCCCTTTCCATCMCCAAATCCTYGTGGCAGAGGAACGCACCAATTCCRCCATGAATTRATTGACACAGCCAAAGCTTTCAAATACTTGGATTATTTCAAATTAACCATGCAGGAGAAGGGAAACTGTGCTTGACCTCTGTTAAATTACACAATAAATGAAAATATTCACTTGTAGGCAGCAATCAGCCTTCCCTAAAAAAAACCACCAAAAATCCTACATGAAGAAGAAATATTTCMTGGATTCCAAAATAGCTTCTTTTTGTAGAATTAATATTCCAAGAGAGGAAATTTTCCCTGCAGGAGCATTGGGCTGTGCCCCTATAAAGTGTTCGTGTTCAGGCATTAGCACCTGTCCCATCCTGGAAAAATGGGATCCAGATAAGCACTAATGACCCCAAAATGAGCTTTGTGCACTTCCCAGCAATCCTGCAGCCCAAAAATCCCATTTTTGTACAATTTAATCCCATTTTTGGCTACTATTTTAAATTCTGCTTGGAAGTGGCTACAAAGAGTATTTTTTACTGACAGTTTGAAGGTTGTGGCTGCTCTGGTGTGGTGGGAGAAGGTGTCAGTGATTTCTGGGAATGGAGTTCCAAATTCCTGAATTTTTTGCAGAAATAAGTGGAATTTTGAGGGAAATGGAATATCCAGATGTGGATGGCTTTCTTTTYCCTCCTGATTTGCAAAGCAGCTTCAGCTTTTGCTACTTTTTTATTTTAAATATTTTTTAATATTTGATCAGTTTCCTTTTCTTTAAAACAATGAGAAAATAACCTGATTTTCCTTTTTTTTTAATGCTAGGAAATATGGTTTTTTCAGTATAAAGAGAAAATAACACAAAATAGATTTGTAATCTTAGCAAAAAAAAAAATTAAATTCAATATGCAAAATATGTGTTCCCAAAAGGCTCCTCAGAATTTTTACTGACAATATTTTGGATGCTCAGAACCCTTTAGAGCACAACAGTTTTTTTTGTTGCGTTCTCCACTGTCTCTGCTTTTGTACTACATTATGTGAATATTCTGAAAATTCAACTTGAAGGGGAAGAATTTAATTACCTGAACTTCCACCTCCTCACCTGTGCTCTACCTGACATTGCAGGCTGCACTTAATCTTAATCTGAATTTAACCATTCCTCTAAGATGCTGAAAAATCGAGATTTGAAACACCTCTAAATATTATTTCTTTTAATGTTGCAGTTTTCAAAATGGAAGCATTTTTCAAAAACCTACACAGTCGGTTMTGGCAAACTGGAGGATTTCTCATTAAATATTGATTTGTCCCATAAGGSCATTGTTTATATATATTTTCAAATAATTTTTTTAAGAGTTTCCTATGCATTAAWTGGGAGAAAGAGCTCAAGATTAAGAATCTCCTGCTCGGACAGGTCCAGTGCCCTCCAAGAACTCAGGGATTTATGGAGCYTTGAACAGTTTCAGTTTCCATTCCTAAAAGTTGTTTTGCCTTAATGAGATCTCGGGTCTCTCCCTGCAGCATTTTCTGTGCAAACCTTAGGCAAAGGAACACTGGATTTAATCCCAGCCTAACTCAGGATTTGCTGCCTTTTTTTCCAGAGGTGTCAGGGCCCTGTGGAGGAGCAGAAATTTCTACAAGGCATCTCAGGGCTGGTTTTATCGGTGAATTCCTGGTTTATTCCTGGTTTTAATCCCCTTTTCTCGTGCTCCCCTTGCTTTGCTCTGTTTCTGCTCTCACATTTCTCGCCTGCAGCACGAATTCTCCTCAACAGCACAAAGCTGAGCTGGTTTTTGCTCAAACATCCCCTGCAAACGTGGCTTTAGGCAAATATCCCGAGGCATTCCAGGTGGGAATTTGGAGCTGGACCTGCCTGCTCCACCCTCCCTCAGCTGGAAAACTCTCCAGATTTTTGCTCTGGGGTGGTTTCACTTGCAGAGTGCAAGAGTAGAGGCTGGAATTTGAAATCCACTGACTAGAAACAAAGATTTTGGAAAATTTCTAATTGGATTTTCCCCTAGCTAATGGAACAAGGATAATTCCCTGCTGGAGAAGTGCTGTGTTGTCCTTCCAGGCTGCCCTGAGCTGGGAATTGTGGAGGAAAAGGGAAGTGTTGGGTATTTTTGTGCTTCTGAGCTTTGTTTTACGGAGGAATGAAAGCATTCATTGGTTCCTGCCCTGGCACAGAACCCTGCTGGGGTTGGTTCTGAGATGGAGYTGGAGGTTTCCATTCTTTTTTCCTTCATTTCTGTGCAGTGAGGAGACAATTTATAAATAAACAGCTCCAGATCTTCTGCCTAAAGCAGGCTGAGCAGAGAATGAAGAGGTGAGGGTGGAAATCCTACATTTTGTTCGTAATTTGAGTTTATATCTTCACTGGAATTGTCATCTCTGTGCATTTTCAGTCGTGCTGCAGTGCCTGATTTGCTGAAATCCTGAGACACATTTGTTTTGTTCTCACCTGCAATGCCTGAAAACATTCAGTTGGGGTTTTTTGAGGAGGACAATTAAGCTGTCAGTATGAAACACATCATCAGGCTCATGATGGCTCTGTGTCATGCCCAGTGCCTGTTATTCCTTCACTGGATATGCCAAAAAAAAAAAACCTAACAAAAAGCCTGGGTAGGAATGTCAGTTTATAAAAATGAGAGAATGGTTTGGGACGGAAGGGATTTTAAAGCTCATCTCATTCCAGCTCCTGGGCAGGGATGCTTCCACTGTCCCAGGGGGCTCCAGCCTGGCCTTGGGCACTGCCAGGGATCCAGGGGCAGCCACAGCTTCTCTGGGAATTCCATCCCAGCCCCTTCCCACCCTCCCAGGCAGGAATTCCTTCCCAGTATCCCATCCAACCCTGATTTTACTCTAAAGGTGCCTGGACTGGATCTCTCTGTGGTTCTCTTTGCTGTACAGACCCTCTCTCCAAATGAATTCTCCAGTCCAGCTGTTACTGTCATGAAAGTAAATCCCAAGAGTGTAGAGAAGTGAATAATGGTAAATGTGAAGTTGACTTGTTGGTCAGAAAATCCTAAATATCTCTATCAGTTTCAAAACAAAGCTCACACCTTGTAACCCTTCCCATACCACACCCTGCTGCCCACCATCATCTTTTTCTGATCCATACCTACCCAGATGTTGAATTTTATGATTTAGTGAGGATTAATTTCTGCCCTGGTGATTGGGACATGGAGGTTGATCACAAAGCCTGCGTTGGTGACCCAATCATTGCTTTCCCCCAGGAAAAAATGGGAATATTGGTGTTTTTAACCCACCTGTAGATAATACATGCACTGTTCCTGCATGTGTCACAATTGGCCGTGTCCTGCCCGGTCCGATAGGAAAGCCTGCAAAGACAAGAGCAGGAAATCAGTCTAAAAGTTATTTATTTTAATAACTTTTGGCTTTCTGTGACCTTTTTCACAATAATCAGAACTTGAGGATTATTTTTTTACCTTGACTGTTGAATACAAAGCCCAGCCATTAGGAAACCAACATCAAAAGCAGCATATTCWTCTTAAATTAGAAATTACTTTTTAGGGCAGATTAATATTTTTTCCACTTTCACATTAAGCAAACTCTCAGCATTGAGCAATAAATCAAAACACATAATCCATTTGATTAGGAGGAATGTACAGAACATAACACTGCAAAATAGGATCTGTTTAGGAATTTTGTGCCTCTCAGTGAGGCTGAAGATCTGTTGTAGGGATATTTGTGTGTTAAAAGGAAGAAAATGCCTTTTAAATGACATTTGCTGTGCTCACTGAGCCTGCAGCTGTGCTTTGTCAGACAATGGTTTGAAGTCTCTTGCTCTTCATTTACCTGTGATTGTCTCTGCCKTGGTCCTTTTTAATTAAAAATGGGTTTTTCAGGTATGCAGGTACTTCTTTACATTCTATAATTTCTTCTTTATACATAGAAATTTCATTAAAAGAAAACGATTTAATTAAAATAGAACAGTTGCCTGTGAACATGGATGTTCTGGCATGCAAATGAGTTTAAAATGAAAATTCCTACGTCAAATTTCATGCATTGGTACTTTGATTTTTCTTTGTAAAATCACTGATTTAGGCTCTTTTAAAGCTTTTTCAGTTTGTTGGATACAAATAAGTGCTGGCAAAGTTTCTTGATGGTTGTTTTTAGAAGAAGGGGGGAAATAATGTGTCCAGGGAACTTTGGAGWTGTGGAAAATGGATGCAGTCAGGATTGTTGTAGGAATGCTGGTTCTGCCCCTGAGCCCAGGACCTTCCTCACTCAGAGTTCAACTGATCAACCTCCAATTATTCAGGGTTAACCAGGGCCATCTCTGCCCCTTCCCTGCCCTCACAGAGACACAGCACCTCCTCTGCTGTCCTGACAGTGAACAAAAATGAAAAATTCAGCTTTTGGAAAGAAAATTAACTTGGTTTTTATGTGTCAAAATCTCCAGCCTGTGTAACAGCAAGTGTTAATGGGAGATTCTGCACTGAGTGTTTGATGTGCCCATCCCTAAGGTGAACAATSAGCATTTCTGAGGTGCTGTGGCTGTTTGTTCAGCTCAGGAAATGATCAGCTGGGCCTGTGTCACTTTTCTGTCTGATTTTCAGGGTTTGAGGGTGTGATGGGCAGTGCCTGGGTGGGGTCGTGGCCGAAGTGGCTATGGAGGCACCAACAGAAGTTCATAAAACAGTGAATCTATTGCTTTTAAGACTTCTTTCCTTCTAAAAGTGAAATGCAACGTGGAGTTCTTGCTGTTGTAGGTGGGTGTTGTTCTTTGGCCTCCAGATTGGTTTGGAATCAGAGGAACGTGCTCAGATCACCAACTTTGCTGGAATTGAACACGGCACCAGAGCCAAATCACGGAGCCATGGGATGGTTTGGGTTGGGAGGGACCTTAAATCCYATCCCATCCACCCCTGAGCTCCTGCTCTCCCATTTTTACACATAACAATTTTTCTGCAGCCCCAAACTAAAGGACACCTCCCTGTGCCAGGCCCTAAGGGATGGAAACAACAGAGAATTGGGGGAGCCAAGTTGGAGTGAATGATTGCATTGGCTGCAGCTGCAATTGGAGGATTCAGCCCCGATGTGCAAATGGACAAAAGTGAGAAAGGGTGAAAAACCCGTGAGCCATTGTCCATTGTGGGTGTGGGACTGCCCTGGATGGCCCTGAAGGCTCTGCAATAACAGAACTGCTTTGGATTCTCTGAATTCTGTCCAGCCTGGTTTAGGTAAGCCTGATCAGGCATCACAGCAATACCTGATTTTTATTTCCCCTTTTCAAGCCTTCCACAAGCCCACATTCAAATTGTCCCTACTGTGAACCTGAAACTTGTAAATGGTTTTTCCCCCCAAGCTATTGATCAGCTCCTAAAAGCTCTRACTAAAGATACAACATTTAAAGTCTGCAGATGAGCTGGTGAAGGCCTTTATTTACTGAGGACATAAAGAACAGTCAATAGTTGCCTTCAGAGGATGTGGCTCTGCTGGGTGAGATCCTCTTTATAGGTAAAGCCATAAACACTTGGTGCTGGTGCCAGCTTGGTTTGGTATTTTTTGTTTAAAGTTGTTTATTTCCAGCTGAGACATTTCCATCCATGTTTGCAGGGCTGAAAACAGCTGGGTCTGGATGAGCTTTAAGGTCCCTCYCAACCCGAACCATTCTGTGATTTGATGGTCTTTAAATGCACAATAATTCCAGATTTCCATACACTTAATATTTGCTGSTAGAAGGCAGCCTCGTTAAGCTGATGAAAATGGTCCTTGGGTATAAGTACTTAAAAATGAGATGATTTTTAGATGATGAGTTTGAAATCCTGGTTTCTCAACTGCTGCATTCAGGCTCTGTGTGGTTTGAGCATCTTTGCAATTCTTGATCTTCAGTGGTTACAGTGATACATTCATTTTTTAGTTTGGTTTAGTTTTTGATTAAATTCTCATAAAACAGTTTTTTCCTTACTGAGTACTTTTAGCTTTTCAGAGATGGTTTTTACGTGTTTCTTATTATTCCTKTCTTTGGATGATCCTGTTAGAATTCCCTGAAAGCCCCGAGAACACTCCATGGTGTCCCAATGTTTGGTTTCCATCTGGCGGTTTCTGAGCTCTTTAGCCAGGACTGAATTATGTGAGYGTTAGCACAGGATAAATTCAATTATTTCTCTAAAAATTAAACTCCTCATGAAAGAATTCTGTTGTTGATACCTCAGGGCTTTCGACTTTCTTGTTTTCACATAATTATCTACACAAACACTTGCATGGAATTCATCTCCTTCACGCCAGCAAGGATTTCACTACTGGCACAGCATTTCCGTGCAAATTGGAGGCAGTGAGGTTGATTTGCAGCCCAGACTTCCTGAAAACCAGCATTTCCATCAGTTTTAACTCTTAGGAACAGTTTGAGAGCAGAGTCTGGATAGCAGGAGGAGGAGAGTTCTGGGTGATTTTCCTTGTGCCATGCAGTGTTTGGAGAAAGCTGTTTTTTCTTTCCTCCTAAAAATAATTTGGAAGGTATTCCAGTGTAGGAGAGCTCAGGCTCGAAACTCTGTCCTTCATTAGTGAACCAGTTGTTATTTTTGGTAAAAATAAATTCTTTCAAATGTCAAGTCTTGCACAAAGCAAAGTTTCCTGCAGAAAATCTGTCGCTGTTTCAGAAAAATAAAAAGTTTTGTTTGGCCTGGTTTCGATCCTGAATGTTATTTCTGGAGTTTCAGGCTTGCTTTGGATCTGATGTGTTCTGRTGTCCACGAAGGAGGAGCCACTGCTCCAAAGCTTCATCCTTTGTGCCTCAGATCTTGTATTTAGATATCAGGAGAGAGTTTTTTTTATGGGAAAAGTGACAAAATGTTGGAATTGGCTGCCCRGGGAGATGGGGGTGTGTTATACAAAGATTGGATGTGGCCCTTGGTGCCGTGGTTCAGTTGAGGTGTTGGGCATGGGTTGGACTGGAAGATCTTGAAGGTCTCTCCAACCCTGGTGATTCTGGGGTTTTCTGTTTCTGTGTGGATGTGCAGAGCTCAGGCAGGTCATGGAATCCCAAMATTCCWGATTGGTTTGGRTTGGAAGGGACCTTAAATCCYACCCATTTCYGTGGCCAGGGACATCTCCCTCTATCTGAGGGTGCTCCAAGCCACCTCCAATCTGGTCTCAAGCAAAGATGAATTTAGGTGAGCTCACATCCCCCTTGGAATGCAGATCTCATCTCCAATTTTTCACACATTTTCCCATATTATTTTCAGGATACTTTCATTTTCTGGCAGGTTGTTTTTTTTTTTTTATTTTTTTATTTCAGCATTCTGGGCTCAACCTGAGCTTAACCTCAATTAACACTCCCAAGTATTAAAATATGATAATGAAGAACAACCATTTTGCTGACATGGACTGGCAGGAACTAAGAATAGGCTGCAATTTTCAGAGCAGCCTAAGGGGATTACACCCTCTAAATCTCTGTGAAACACTGAATTTGTGCACCTGCTGGAGGCTTTTTTTATTTTAAAATACCAACTTTAACATCAAAATCTTTGCATTTGAATATTTTTGTGTGTATAAATTAGACGGAGCTGGGAGAGGAGAGCTTAGATCTGYGTGTGCTGATTTTTTTAATGGACATCCATTAGAAGCAAAGAAAATACTCTTTACAAAGTGATTTAGAAGGATAGAGCTGTTATATCTGAATGCCTTTCTTTCTCTGTTGGGATGTGGGGAATCCTTGGTATTAATGGAGTTCCCTAATGGTAGGATTTCCCAGAAGTGGCTGTGATGGGAAAGGATCAGTTTTTTTTGGTTTTTTTTTTTAAGGATCACCTATTTTCCACCTAACAGTTTTTCAATTCTCCCTGGTTTTGTTGTCTGTTTTCCCCATTTCCTTTGGTTTTGTTTCCCCGTGGGAGCAATCAAAGTTCACACAGGTTGAAGTGATCTCAGCTTTGCGCTCCTGGGTGGTTTTCTGACTCAGGATTAACTAAACCTTAATGAAAACAATTTTTCTCTCTCCAGCAGCCCATTCCATCCCACCCTCTGCCATGAGACTTCCACAATCCCAGTTTGCTCCAAATCCCACCCMACCTGGCCTTGATCCCTTCCACATTTTCCCTCTTCTCTCTCTTTTCATTTCAAGGCTGCCATTATTGATTTGGCTTGTGAAAAAATCCTTTGCAATGTACAGAAGCTCAGTGGTGAGATTTTTCAGGCTCTTTCCAAGACAGTGGTTGTTGTCTTTTCCTGCATCCTGACAGTTGGAAGCAGATGACTAATTTGCTTTTTGAGGTATTTGCACCGTGGGCGTACGGCATGAATCCCACGACAGCAATTGGAGTGCTTTCACCCTGTAAATACATTTTGTATTATGCTCAGGTTAGTCAGGGAGTGT